ACTAAAAATTATTAAAACATGTTCCCCTGTGATCATCCAACTAAAGACTTAAAAAAAAAAAAAAGAAAATAAATCAATGAAAAGGCTACAACATACTTACAATATACTTCTAAAACTGATTAAAGTGTAAAAGATACAGTTAGGGATATCCCCCTTTTGTGTCAATTTTTCAAGTCAGAAATGCACTGTGAAGTAATCTGTTACCAGGCATTGGGGAAAACAAGTTCAAGACGAAAAAACATCAATGAGTGGTTTTTTTTAAAGTGCTATTAATGTTATTGTGAGTGCACTGGATTTTGGATTACCCAATAACAATATTCAAAACAGTAATACGTCATTCAATTATTTCCTAATATTGTTTTATTTAAATTTCCTACTTCTAATAAGTTTTGCCTCCACTATAGTTCTCCATAATTTAAAATTTGAAAGAATTAATTAAAAACGTGATTTCAGTTACTGCAAATAACTAACTTTTATCTACCCTGAACTCCAATGCAAATATTGCTTGGCTATAAATCAACAACATAACCAATTAATGTGTAGCTTTCATATATATATATTTTAAATTATCCAAACTTAGTCCTGTTAGACTGACTCTTCTGTGTCACCAAAGCACTACCACAAGACATTTATCTAGATGTAAGTAGAGTTACCTGGATCATCATTTACGATTAAACAATTACAAAGAATTCAAGGAATATCATAATTTGATATTGACTAGAGATCTACTTAAGACTAAATGTCGATGTCTGGAGGATGACGAAGGACACATGGCAGGATGTGAATGTGAAGGAAACTGCACACCACACTATCAGGCTCTGATCAAAGATTCTCTTCAAGAAAGTCAGCACATACTTAAAAGTATTATGCAATATGTAGAAGGGATGATATTTTAAGTGTGAATGCTGTACTGTGGAGTAATACAAATGCTTCTGCATTCCCTTCAAAATGCCCTTTTTTTAAAAAAAAAAAAAAAAAAAGAAAGAATTCAGTAAGGATTGTTCCAAATCACTTAAAAAGATGTGGAAGAGGAAGAACAGTAAGTAAATCAACGATTCTCAGGTCTGATTGGATATTCACGACATAATGTCATTTTGAAGACAAGAATTAAAAAAACAAAAGCCTGGTTTAAATATTTTGCTCCCCAGGCCAAATCACATCTTACACTACAGATGCTGATCCTAAAGGACAGGAATTCACTACAGAAAAACATCTCAGAAGAGTGACAGAGAGGATTAATAAAGTTCTTAATAAACAGAATTCAAAACAACACGAAGTACACTCCTGAGTCTTTAACAACAGGTATCTGTAGCCTATGTAAAACCAAGTTAGCAACTTCAAAATTATGAATAAGAACTAAAGCACCCAAAAATCAGAACTGAAATTAAAACCGAGCACTCAACACTGCCTGAACTTTCTATCTTAACCTTAAGCCTTTAAAGTACATGCCCTAAATTATGGGTTCTCTAGTTTTCCAATACCTAAACTATAAAAAGCACAACTTCTCATACAACCTGAGAAAAGTAAATCACAGTGTAGCACAGAAACAATGCAGAAGGCTGTTGCATTTGGCTAAATGAAATCTGCAAAGTAAAGAGGGTTTTAGACACATCAGCATTTGTAAGGTTAAGACAATTTCACTTTCCTAAGGTTTGAACCTTGGCTAAGTGAAATCTGCAAAGTAAAAAGGGTTTTAGACACATCAGCATTTGTAAGGTTAAGACAATTTCACTTTCCTAAGGTTTGAACTGAACTCTACCCAAATTCAAGGCAGTTCATGGAAGAAAAAAAGAAATAGTAGGGAAATTGTTTCTGGCCTTCATTAAACCGAGTGATATACATTATATGGAAGCATTTCTATAAGCAACTGTTCAAAGAATTTCTGTCTTAAAGTCAAATTAATATAGATTGCATGACTCATAACATCTGCATTTCTGATATGAAGTTTCCTAATTTTCAGACAAAAACCCCACTATCATAAGAAACAAATCTGGACTACATGTACCAAATACGGTATATTCATTGCAAAACAAATCACAAGGAACTAAATTAGTCTCATAAACTACAAGAATAACAACACTACAGATTACTGATTACATCAGATTTATCAATTTGTTTACACTATACTTTTTAAATTCTCCATTTTTTTGTAGATAATCATCCTGTATTTAAACAGGATGTTTTATACAACACGCCAGGAACTGAAATTACCAGGCCTGTACTAACATACCAGCAGAACAATAATTGAGAATAAAGAAGCTGCCTTTAAGAGTGTATTCCAAGGTTGATTCAAAATCAGAGACCTAGGAAGATACACCTTATGGCAAAGACAGACACAGTAGACCTTTTTAATTGCAATAACAAAACACATGCTGTAATCTCCGTAACAGAGAACAATCCAGCGTCAAACTACGCAGTGTCTAAAATTGCCTATCACCAGGCACATCACATCAATGCTGACCTGCATACGCAGACTCGCACGCACACGCAAACGCATACACACACTTGTTTCTGTAACGATGGCATCACTCCAAACCACTGAAAAGGAGAACTTAAGGTGATACAATTCCCAGTTGCTCTACACCCTGCCTGGAATTCACAGGGAAGTCTAACAGCACTATCAAGGATGAACAGAGAGATCAATCTCCAGTGCCACATCTTGTACAGGGAAAGTCAGATCCCATTTAGTCTAAGAGTGTTTTCACACCTTAAGATAAAAATTGTGAGACTATCTATAAGCCTATACCGGGAACACGGTAAAGAGAAAGTGGAAACTGACAATTCAGAAATCATGCCAGCACCATCCATTTTAATACTCCACGTAAGCAGAAGTGCAACAAAGGCTAAATTGCAGAAGAGCATCACATTCAGTCATAAGAGTGCTTAAGTGATCTTTAGAGCTAAAAATACAGACAGTGGAGTGTCTACCAGGCAATGAACTAGTGACTAAATATCACACCTTGCTGATGTAGTGTTCAGGCATATAGTAAGTCTCTTTGTACAGATACATGAAACTTCAATTCGATAAACATACATACAGTATATTAGAAAATGGCAAGAACAGTGACAATTACAAAAACTCATAGGTTGCTGGAATGACTTAACACTGATTTGACAACCTACCTATTTCTGTAATTGTACACATACATATGTTACCAAGTATCTACACCTCCAGTGCTAAAAGGTGCCTTTAGAGTGTCTCGTATTATTTAATATACTGTGACACTACTTCTTTATCCGTTTTCTCAAAAGATGCCAAATTGTCCTTTCTGTCAGAGGAGAAAAGGAGACTTCTTATTCACAGAAGTGTGACAGATATGCTGTGCAAAAAGTGGCTGAAATTCATAACATGAACTTCTTTCCAAATTGTAACACTTACTACAAAAAAGTAGAGTGAAGCTTTCAGCTTGCTGATGTAAAAATTGAGACTGAAAACATATTGTCATTGATGATGACTTAATTCATGCTGACTGAAGCAACATGAAAACTTCAAATCATTATTCTAAGCCTTCCTGTGACACAGAGAAAGCTCAGTTTATTCCTGTGGACTTATAGCTATGGAAAACATACTGTCAACTTGCAATTAAAAAAAAAGAGTCATTTATGAAAAACAATCCTCAGAAAGTTGCATTATACAGCTGAATAGAACTGTGCATAAAAAGGGAATTAAAATAAAACCGTGTGATATATTATTAAAAAAAATCTTTATGTATAAAAGAACAGCTCAAGATATATATAAAGATTTTATATATAAAATCTTTTATACATAGAGATAAACATATATATATACACCCACAAACATATATAACCAAGTATACATACAGTTCCTGCCACCAGGAAAGAGGGAGTTAAAAAATGCCTTTCCTTTTCTTTCCTTTCCTTCCCTCTCTAATGAACACCTGTTCAAAAGGAAGGGCTATTAAAAGAGCCAGAGAGTAACAGGAAGAGTAGAATGTTTGGAGGAAGTCACAGGTCCTCAGGTGGGCACTGAGGCTTGGCATGATCTCCAGGACAGAAATTATGGTTTGTTAGTTGCACTGTTTTCATCAATATTTACGGTCAGACCAAAGTGCTGAGCAGACTTCATTATTTACTGCTCTGTTACTCCTGTCAGTTATCATGCGAGCTCCCAGAATTATTTTGGAACAGTCAGTGGAAATGGTAAGAGACCAAACTGCTGAGTTATAGCAGCACTATGTGAAGTGTACACAGGCATTGCACTCACCATAAACTGACATTAGTGGGTTCTAAACAGCAAGGGCACAATTTAAGTACTTCTTAAGATTGTATCAACTGAATAATGAGCTGCTTTGGAAGAGGTGGCACTGTCAGTCACTGTTTGAAAAAGCAGACAGTATTTTGGGCCGAGAAATCAGAGTCTGATCTCTTAATTTAGAAGTTTGTAGAATTTTAAAAGCAGCTTATCAGTGTCTAACAATCTAAAGATTTAGTACAATCTGTATTAGCAACAAGAACAGAGTCAGAAAGGAAGACGACAGATCACACTGACTTTATCTGACCGGTGTGAAGAAAGTGATTTTTTGCACCCTTACTGCTGTTAGCATAGTGAGAAACAGCTAGAACACCAAAACACGTAAAATCATCACGGCAGAGTTGTTAAAAGCTGCTTCCTGGAATTAAACCTTGAGGCCTGCTGAAAACCAGGGGAAAAAAAACCTAGGGTAAATATTTCTACCATTTCCTCAACAGTCTCATTTATAGTTGTGGGTCTAAAGCTACATCCATGGCAGTAAAATTAATTTCAGGGGGTCAGAGAGCAGTGGCCTGATAGTATTAACCAGGGATTTTGTTGTCTGTTTATCAGTCAGACAGCGTTTTACACCTATGGAAGTTAAAGATGAAAACTCTCTACTTACCATTACAAATAAAAGCATTATTCAGTAATTTCTGTTCTTTTTGAGTCCAAATATACTGCACAGATTGTACATATAACAGAGTGCTTAAAGCAACACATGATTTTTAAAACATGGAAGACTCACCAATCCACTTAAGGCTAAAATCCAGATGTAGGAACCAGATGTTAAGAGCTGGAAGACATAAGCAGTGATATAAAATTTTGATGTTACACAGCTGTTGTTGTCCAAGTTCCTACATTACAATGTTACACAGGCTACGTACTTTTGGCTATGGGAGAAGTCAGACGTTTATTTCTGTGAAAATTCAGTTTAACATTAAAAAAACATGTATTACAGAAGTAGGAGAAGTGGAAAAACACATGGATCCAACAATTGTTCTCCTTCTACAGAACAATACATTTTACGTTCATATAGCATACTAAGTCTAACAGGATGTCAGTTATAGGCTGCACAGAAAAACAAGTCTGAAAGATAGACTGAAGCAAAGGAAATGACTCAGCAGCAACAGGAGAAGAGTTCCAAGCTGGGCAAGCAGTGCAAGTGGAGCTCTCAGATGTGCAGTCACGGAGAGACTAAGCGTGAGCATCAAAATTAAAGAAATAAAGTTCTCACCCAGTGGCATATTTGTCAACATGAAATCACAGAAATAGGCTGAAGTATGTATTTTTTGTTTTTAATCCGGATAAGCCAACAGGGCAGCCCACCCTTTCTAGCAAAGTATGTGATTAATCACCTGCAGAAGGTTATTACCAACTGGAAAAATGGGCTGAAAATTAGACTGATACTGGTTACTAAAATAGTTCTGCACCACGCTGACTGAATCATGAGAACACCTTCCCTCTTGACTCCTGACTGTGGAAGTATTTTTTGTTTTTAATCCGGATAAGCCAACAGGGCAGCCCACCCTTTCTAGCAAAGTATGTGATTAATCACCTGCAGAAGGTTATTACCAACTGGAAAAATGGGCTGAAAATTAGACTGATACTGGTTACTAAAATAGTTCTGCACCACGCTGACTGAATCATGAGAACACCTTCCCTCTTGACTCCTGACTGTGGAAAGAGTAAATGAGGAGAAGGCAAATGACTTTTCCCTCAGCCTCTGTGTGACGGCAGGAGCCGTTCTGTACGCAGCAGGGAAAGATCTAGTGAGATACAGTGATTAGTAACAGCAGTGGTGTGTATTTGGAGGTGGTGTGAAAGCAAAAGGCAAAAGACACAATGAAAAAGAGCTCAGACAATATCAGGGCTTTCCCAAAGACCAGAACAACTGCAGTATTGATGGGTTGGGAAGACAGGAAACAAGATTTCTGTAAGATCAGGAAATTAAGATGCTGGAGGAGAAATCAAAATACTCCAAAGGCTGAACACCAAAATGGATGAATCAAATGTTCATGTGGAGCATGAGTCAATATTCTGAAACTGGCCATTCATTCTAAAATACTCTCTACCCAACTCACATAACTATGGTGCTTTCCGTTGCTAGTGCTAGAGCTATTTTTGAGCCCCTGGAATATATAAAAATGAGTACAGTTTCTCATAAGTTTGCAGGTCTCCTGTTTCATAATTCAGGCTGTGACATGAGTGTCCATTCATTTCTAGGCTGTTGGGGGTTTTTGTTGTTGCATTTTTTGAACGACTACTGCCTTTCTGTAACAAGTACCTGTATTTTTCCACACATATTCAACATAATACTACATGATACGGCTGTGCTCTACGTTACACTATTTTAAATTACTTGTCACATGGTAATGCTTGATATAGGAATAATTTATATAAAAGTGGAATTCAGTCAATACCTTGATTATTTACCAACAGTCTTACCATAGAAAAATGCCGTATTCTATAGCTTTGAGTTCTAACAGATAAGGGGAAAATAAAAGCAAGAATATAAGCAAATTAGAAAGGTAAAAGATACATATGCCTTATCATCAGGTTCTGGTTTCATCTAGTTCATTTTGTTGACAAAAAAAAAAAAAAAAAAAAAAAAAAAAATGTAAAAAAAAAAAAAAAAAAAAAAAAAAAAAAAGGTAAATTGTCTATTATATTTTCCTGGGCAATACAATCAAGCAGGAGACAAACGAAGAACAGATCACTTGCCCGGCACTTCAGCATGTAGAAATGCATACTAGCAATACATGCTTTTCAATATTTTAGTTGATGGGACAGCCACTGGCTAAATGTATGTGGGATCATACACATGGAAGTATCAAAATTCAGAGATGAACATAGAGAAATACTAATACATTAGTAGTTAATTAAAAGATGAACAAGCAAGTACATACCATACCTGTAAACCCAGTATATAGACCAGCGTCTTGTTTGTGATAGAAAAGTGGCCTAATACTTGTGTCACCTGCACTCTTGGAATGGAGGAATAAAATGGTACAAACAACGCAAACACAGGACCCAGGCTGCAAAAAGAGAGATACAGATGGTTACAGATACAGAAAGATACAGATAGAGAATGATACTAGCAACAGCAGTGTAAAATTAATCCTAAGTACTTAACAGTGATAATGTAATACCACCTTGCAAGCAAAGTTCTTTTTTGGGCAGCAGTGATTAGATAACTTGTGGTGTTCAGGATAACAGATGCGTTAATAAATAAGGAACCACTAGCCTTTGGCAAATATCCTTGTGAAGAAGAAACAGGTGACAAGGAGTATCTTATTTCCAAACGTTTAGGACTGGAGACAGCAGAGGAGGCAACCTATTTAGTCTAATAGCAGACTGTTTCTATCAAATACAGCACACAAGAACAGCAGCAGTAGTCTCCCGCATCAGAACAAAACTTGGATCCAAGCGGACAGATGGTAGGGATTATACATATCTCCAAAGGTCATAGAAATCATTTCACTTACAAAGTGAAGCTTCATATTCACCCACGTTTAAGGTTCAGAGCACTGCCAATAGACTGCAGTGCCTAAAATGGGAATACTGACAATTTGATTTAACTTCCCTTTGCCAGGGACTTCCATGGCTCTACAAATAACCACCTTTCTTTATAGGGTGCTCACCTTCATCGCAGCACAAGATGTTTTATTCAGGTTTTAAACCCTCACTGGAAGCAGCTTCGTATCAAGCACCTTTCACAATAACCAGATACCGAGATTGAACTTGTGAACACAAACCAGTGCATTTCCTCCACGTACCCAGATGCAAAGCCTGTGTGCCTGACAATAAAACACCCAGAAAACTAAACCGTGTATTAGAAGCAACAGCAGAACCAGTGCCAAAGGCGTGGATATGGGACATTCTAAAAGAAAATAATTCCTAGGATGGAGAAAGGGAAGAAATCCCAGGTCACTTGAGGTAGACATGACCAGCTCCACCTGCCAAGCTGCGGTGGCGGTGACCTCCAGGCAGCAGGCTGCAGGCAGGGGGAGGCTACCTGCAAAGGGCACATCTCCCCCAGCGGAATCCTCGCCTGCCTTGTGTCCGACGGCACGGGATGCTGCACAGGCTAACTTTTCACTGCTCACCAGCTTATCCAAACTTTCACGAGTGGGAGTTTTCACAGGCCTTTACATGAAAGCTATCTTGTACTCAGCAGTAATTCTGCAAACAGCACAAACCAGGAGCCAGATAACTTGAAGTGCTCACTCTAAAAGGTATTTTCCTTCTGGAGGAGCTACTGATAGGTGCAATACTGTATGAAATGATGGTGTGAACATAAAAACTTACATTTCCTGACTACCTGCCAAATTCAACACACACAGCTATGGGGAAAAAAAAAAACCAAAAACCTTCAAATATTTTTTTTTTAACTCATTTAATGGACTCTGGCTTAAGACTGTTTTGTTTGTTATATCTGAAGTTCAGCTTGCTGAAAAGCTTCCTCTCTGAGGACTTAAATACAGTTCACTTAAAGAAACATTTTTAGTATCATCCATTTAACACCGAGTCAGATGCACTTGAATGTATAGAGAATGCTAACTCAGAAACTACTGCAAAATGTTCCATATAATCCTTCTTACATAAACAAAGCCCACCTGTACAAACACACACAACACATTCTCAAAATAAAATACAAATTATTTAAGTTGCAGGAGTTGACAGACACAGCTACAGGAGTGCCACATACCAAAACAATTTTTCATCGGAAGTGGTTTCATTGTAGACAATACTCACTGAAGTAGATCAGGATTTACAAGTGAAGAAGGGGAAAAAAAAAAAAATCTTTTGCCCTCTTAGAAAAGTGATTTTTAATCATTTCTCTCTACCCTTACTAAGTGATCTGAGGCAGTGTGTCATGCTTTTCAGGTTTTATTCCTCCTCAGCAACAGAGACTTAACATGCAAGACTGCACTCAATCATAAGATGGGAAAGTACAAAAAGGAATTTCCCATGAGTGCAAGTGCGTTTTTATAAGAGATTAGAGAATGTTGAAAGGTTCCTTAAATGTTAGTATTCAACATTAATGTCAACAGAGACCATAGAAAACACCACCCCAGTTTAGGGTCATGATCTGCGTAATTCCAAGTCCAGCGTCTGATGCTGCCTGGTACCTGACAATCTAGAGGAGCTGGAGGAAACCTAAAAATGACGTTTTTCTCCTAAAACAGTGTTTGTAGGTACCACAGACCTATGCCTCCAAAGACATCAGATTTTTGTTTTCTAGACAGAGTTCACATCTAGTATAAATAGGTATTACACAAATATCCTTTCAGGTAGTTTTTTGGGTTTTTTTAATGTCAAAATTAGTGCCTTTCAAAATATTTTGTAAACTCATTTGTAAGGACGAATCCACTGGGTGAAAATATATTCCAATTAATTTTAAACTTTTGGTCTCAGCTTTCATTATATAAATTCTGCACTTTTACTCTGAAACTTCCAATGTATCTTTTCTGTTGCCTCAGAACTTTCTACACATTACTCATGCCTGGTTTAGAACATCTACATGGAGATGCTGCTTATCCACAGTGGGTCCTTCAGAGAAGTTATCTACGTAACAATACCAGAGCATGACTGACATAGTAAGGGACAACAAAAGGATGGCTGAGGAAAACATGAGCTCACTGCTTAATGGAAAAAGGGACTTAATGAGAAAGGACGTGAAAAAAGCCAAAGGTACCCGATGCCTTTTTGGCCTCAGTTTTCACTGGTTGGTTTTGCCCTCAGGCCTCCCAGGTCCTTGAGTCTCCTGTGGGACTGGAGCAACACTGGCTGTAAAGAAGACAGTTAGGACGAAGCTCTTGAGCCCAACTGGCTATACAGGAGTCAACAGGACCAGATGGGATGCACCCCAAGGCACGGAGGGAGATGGCCACCGTTACTATCACTGAAGCAACGTGGTGACTGGGTCAGGTTCCTGATGGCTGGAAAAACGCCAACGATACACCCATCTTCAGGGAGGGCAAGAAAAGATTCAGGTAGCTGCAAGCCTCACATCCGTCCCTGGGAAAGTTACAGAGCAAATCTCCTAGAAGACATTGCCATGTGAGGGACAAGGCGATTGCTAATAGCCCATATGGATTTACCAAGGGTGACTCTGGCACTGTGGGCAAGGAAGGGGAAGGCAGCAAACATATGCTCTGACTTTAGGATGGCCTTTAACTCAGTCTCCTCTTGTGTCCTTGAAGAAAAACTGGGAAGATATGGACTGGATAAGCAGACTTGAAGAAAACTGGCTGCATGGCTGGACTCAAAGGGTTCTGACCAGTAGTACAAAATCCAAGCAACAGCCAGCTACTAACAGCTTCCCTCAGGGGTCTGCACTGGGACTAACACTATTTATGGTCTTTATTAATGACCTGGATGTGTCATTATGTCATTATTTATTAATGACCTGGGCAGAGCGCATTCTCAGCAAGATGGTGAATGGCATCAAGTTGGAAGGAGCAGTCAATACGTTGGAGAGCGGGGCTGCATTCAGATAGTCCTTGTCGGGCTGGGGAGATGGGCTAATGGGAACCTTACAGAGTTCAACAAAAGCAACTGTGGAAACTGGGGTGGAATAGCCCTGTGCAATGGTATCGACCGGCTAGAAAACAGATTTGCAGACACGAACCGAAGGATCCTTTGAATGTTAATCAGCAGTTTGCCCTTGCAGGAAAGGCCACGCGCATACAGGGATGCATTATCAAGACTAGTCATTAGGCCAAGTGATTGTTCAGCACTTCTGAGCCTGACCCCGAATCACTGTGTCCACTTTTGAGCTCCTTTTTCAAGAAGGGCACTGATATACTGGAGCAAGTCCAGCTGGGGGTAATGATGGTCCAGTACTGTACCAGACTGCCAGGAGCTAGAATCTACATCCTCAGAGATACAGCCTGGACACACAGCCCTATGTAACCTGTTCCTTTTGGACATGCTTTGAACCCAGGGTTGAACTAGGTGACTGCCACAAGTTGTGTCAAACCTAAGCTACTGTGTCATTCTGAGAATAATCGAAGTCTTGTTCCTGAAGCTCATAATCACTGGATGGATTTCCTGTATTTCACTAGACAGGTACAAACATCCATCCAGGTACTGTAAATAAAAAGACTGGTTCTGAACTCTTTCTGTTATGTTAATTAATTGTTTGGTAATATATATTCAGATTCAACATCCACAAGTGGAAAACATACTCTTAATAAAGGACTACTTAAATTCTCTCTTTTCCTCTTATTTTTTCTTTTCTTTTAATCCCTTCTAATCCACTTCCCTTACTTTCTCTTCTGCTCCAGACCTTTGTGTCAGCCTTTTGTTCATTATACTATGAGAATATCAGGAACATCCTTTCAAGTGCCATGATTAACTTGTACTACAAATTTGAGATGCCTGTATGCAAAGAAGGGGCACAGACATAAATACAGGCTGGGTTTATGCCCACTTCATGTTTAGGAAGCTTATTTTCTAGCACACATGACTGAAATGAACTTTTTAAACAAACCAGAAAACTTTAAAACCTGAAAGATTAAATCCTAGAGTTTGAAGACTCTATATGGACACCATGTCCATCCCAAAGGTGTACTGCAATAGCAGGCTGTACAACAATTATATCCTCATTTGTAAGAGCTTGTTAAATTTCAACATTTGCAGCGAAAAAGAAACACAGCAGATGAGATGAGATACATTCTACAGTGTATGAAGTGATGAGATTGCAGAGAGGAAAAAAACAACTTGAAGGAACAATAACCTTGAAAAAAATAAACCAGAGATGTAGAAACTACTGGCAAAGAAGAAAGAATCAGGGGCAAGTACTTCTCCTAAGAGAAACATGCTACTTAAAGTTTAAAGGAATAAATATTAAATGCAGATTAAAATAAAACATTGTAACATAAGTAAATATATGCACAAAATACAGAAAAAAGGGTTCTAAAATGTATGAACAAACGGTAAAAAGCTGAAAGTTACTTCTGCAAAAATATCTGCTGTTGTCAATGGAAGCTCTGCGAGATTAAATTTGCAGAAATAACCTGTT